CCTCTGCCTCCTGGGTTCAAGTGATTCTCCTGCCTCAGCCTCCGAAGTAGCTGGGACTACAGGCGCACACCACCATGCCCCACTAACATTTTTGTATTTTTAGTGGAGACGGGGTTTCACCATGGCCAGGCTAGTTTTGAACTCCTGACCTCAAGTGATTCACCTGCCTCGGCCTCCCAAAGTGCTGGGATTAAGAGCGTGAGCCACAGCGCCTGACCGCCTGTATCTCTAAATACATCATAATCATAATCATAATCAGGACAGCAGTCATATTGGATTAGGGCCCACCCTAATGACCTCATTTAAGCTTGATCATCTCTGTAAAGATCCTGTCTCCAAAAATGGTCACATTCTGAGGTATTGGGGTTAGGACTCCAACATATGAATTTGGGTGGGGACACAGTTCCATTCATGACACATTCATCGATTAATTTCCTCATTCATTTATTTTCTGAGCATCTATTGTGTGCTGGACACTCAGTGAAGATGAATGAGTCACAGTCTCTGGTGAGAAGGACAAGACTTGTAAGTGTGTCTCAGTACTGGCCAGTCCAGGCACAGTGGCTCACAGCTATGATCCCAGCCCTTTGGGAGGACAAGGCGGGCGGATCTCTTGAAGTCAGGAATTTGAGATCAGCCTGGTCAACAGGGTAAAACCCCACGTCTGCCAAAAATGCAAAAATTAGCCGGGCATGGTGGCAGGTGCCTGTAAATCCCAGCTACTATTTGGGAGGCTGAGGCAGGAGAATCGCTTGAACCCAGGAGACAGACATTGCAGTGGGCCGAGATCACACCACTGCACTCTAGCCTGGGTGACAGAGCAAGACTGTCTCAAAAAACAGAACAAAACAAAACAAAACAAAAGAATTTTTAAAGATTACTATAGATTGGGTGGCTTTTAAACAACGTTTGTTTCTCAGCGCGCTGGAGGCTGGAAGTCAGGGCGCCCTCTCCCTGGCTGCGGATTGCCAACATCTCATTGTCTCGTCACATGCAGAAAGAGAACTAGAGAGCGCTCCAGGGACTCTTTTTTTTTTTTTTTTTTTTTTTACATGAGGCATTGCCATGTTTCCCAGGTTGGATTTGAACTGGGCTCAAGTGACCCTCCTGCCCCAGCCTCCCAAAGTGCTGGGATTACAGGCACGAGCCACCGTGCCTAGCTAATTTGAACTGTTCCTAAAGGCTCAAGTGATCCTCCCACGGTGGCCTCCTGAGCAGCCTGTAACCCCAGCTTCTAGGGCCTCTGTTATGAGGGCACTAACCCCATTCACAGGGCCCCACTCACTCTGCACACATGACCTAAATCACCTGCCGAATGCCCCACCTCCTAATGCCATCACCTTCGGGGCTGGGATTTCAACACAGGAATTCATGGGGGGCACACACATTCAGATCATCATGAATGTTTACATGTGACAGAAGGTGACCGAGGTGGGTGGTGGTCCTCCCCTCAAGGGGGTTGAGTTGCCAGTAGCTGGGGAATCTGGAAAGGCTTCTGGAAGGCAAAGGCATCTGAGCTGGTCTTTCCATGAGGAAAGTGTTTGTCTATGGAAAGGCAGAGGACTCTGGGAGGTAGGAGGTGGGGCAGGGGCGAAGGGAAGGGGGAGCATGGCAGCAGGGTGACTCTGCACGCCGGGAGTGGGGAATCAGATGGGGGACGTGATGAGGAGTTCTGTTAAGTTCAAGGTGCTAGTGCGGAGACCGGCAGGCGATGGCCTCTGGCTTGAGGGACAGGATGGAGGGCAGGCTGTCTGAGGATGGGCAAAGCTGGAGGGACAGAGCCGATTGCAAAGGCAAGGGCAGTGGGCAGGAGGGCGGGAGGGGGAGGGGAGGCCCTGACGGAACCGGGAGAGGTGGGATCAGCACCGGTGTAGACAGGTGGTACTGCCATCCAGCTCCTCTCTCTCCTCTGCCTCCTGCCCGCAGGCCCCTTTGAAGGCCCCAATTACCACATCGCTCCCAGATGGGTGTACCACCTCACCAGTGTCTGGATGGTCTTTGTGGTCGTCGCATCCGTCTTCACGAATGGGCTGGTGCTGGTGGCCACCATGAAGTTCAAGAAGCTTCGCCACCCTCTGAACTGGATCCTGGTGAACCTGGCGGTTGCTGACCTGGCAGAAACCGTCATTGCCAGCACTATCAGCATCGTGAACCAGATCTACGGCTACTTTGTGCTGGGCCACCCAATGTGTGTCCTGGAGGGCTACACGGTCTCCCTGTGTGGTAAGCCTGGGGCCCAGGCTCAGCAGAAACTGTTCACTCACCCTGCGAACCCCTCCGGCCACTCCAGCATGACCTGGGCCCAGCTTCTCCCGTGGGTCCGCCTCCCTCACATCCAGATACTGAAGGGTTTGGAGGCTTCCATCTGAACACTCACATGAAATTCAGTTCCCTTGAGTCCAGCACACCCTGAGTTCCTACTCTTGAGTCAGGCTCTGCCCGGGGACAGCCAGTTTGGGGCTGTGGGGCTGGTGTGGGAGGAGACAGACACAGAACCAGACAGTCCCAGAATAGCATGGGAGCAGGGCCTCTGGGCACCCTGGGCAGAGCTCCTGTGCAATCAAGGATGCTGCCCTTCCAGCTCACCCGCATCTGCTTTTCCTGGGGGAGACACGATTCCCAGATCCTCTCCCATCCCCATCACTCATATCTCTGTGGCCACGATTACGCCCAGGTCAGCAGGCAGTGGCCAAGAGGTACCCATGTGCCAGGCTCTGTGCTAAGGAGGGGCCCTATACCCAGACGGTGACCAGACAGTGCCATCACCAGTCCTCTTCGACAGGAAGGGGCCTGGGGCAGGTGGAGAAGCAGCAGCTGGGAACAGCTGGCAGCTCAGTGGGCAGAGTACCACCAAGCGGCCGCTGCTGCCGGACAACAATAAAAACAAATAAAAACTTCGCTGGGAGTGGTGGCACACCAGTAGTCCCAGCTACCCAGGAGGCTGAGGTGGGAGGATCGCTTGAGCTCGGGAGGTCGAGGCTGCAGTGAGCTGTGATGGCACCACTGCCCTCAGCCTGGGCAACAAAGTAAGACCTGTCTCAAAAAGTAAATAAAAATAAAAGCATGTGTTAAAAGTATTAGTGACACCACTCAGCACTAAAGTTTTAAATAACAGGATCCAGCCTGACAACCATTGCTATTTCAAATTAGTGATGAAATAAGTGAAATTCGAACTGTCTGCCACCTCTGTAAATTGATGGGAAAACATCTGTGACCTCTCTTGCTGACCAAGTCACGGGTGCTGCTAATACTGCCATGTTCATATTGGAAGGAAATGCCCAGTGTCTGTTCCAGGTTGTTGGAAAGAAAGATGTCACTTTTTCCACCTCAGTGGGTGGAGCCCTGAATTCTGCGTGCAGACTTTTGGGGTCTAGGCAGGACAGTGGGAAGCCGTCTCCACCTACCGCAGAGAGGGAATGGGGAGAATCTGAGCCGTTTACACTCGCCTAAAGGAACGTGGGGGTGTGCTGGAAGGAGGAGCGCAGGTTACTAGACATAGCCTGATTCCTTGCTCTTGGCTGGGACAATAGCTCCTCAGTGTGGCCATGCTGCTGTGGACGTGGCCATCAAGAGTTCCGTCATTAGAGGAAGGGCCGTGGCCAAGAGGGCAGGGGGTGCTAACAGGGCTCCTCTGGGCCAACAGGCGCAGCTACTGGCTGTCTGGCTTCCTCGTGGGCGCTGATGTGTGGAGGTTGGGGACAGAGCTCCCTGAGTTTGGTTCCCAGCTTCGAGATTCCAAGACTGGTTGGCAAGAAACCCACTGGCCAAACCGGGAGCTCGAAGCTCCTGCTCCAGGGGGAGAGCAATTGAGGAAAGAAAGAAACGGAGAGGAGAGGAGGAAAACGGGGGTCAGTAGGGAAGCAAGGTGGGCGAAGAGGCAGAGTGAGATGCGGAAGGAAGTAGAAAGCAGGAGTTAGGGAAACAAACTGACCCAAGGCCCACTCGCCCTGGACCTGAAAACATTCTTTGGAGGATGAGGTTTTGCAGCTAGGTGGGCAGAGGCCTCCTGATTTTGAAAGCTATCAGCTGGTCCGGGAAGGAAGCAGTGATGTCGGAGGCTGTTCTACCTCTGCTTCGGCTCAAAGCCCTCGTCTGTGTGCTCTCCCCTAGGGATCACGGGTCTCTGGTCCCTGGCCATCATTTCCTGGGAGAGGTGGCTGGTTGTCTGCAAGCCCTTTGGCAACATGAGATTTGATGCCAAGCTGGCCATCGTGGGAGTTGCCTTCTCCTGGATCTGGGCTGCTGTGTGGACAGCCCCGCCCATCTTTGGTTGGAGCAGGTAAGGGGGCACGGGTGCAAGACGGGGTGGGCAGGGTCAGACTCTGTGACCTTGAGGCAAATCATTCCTTTCTCTGGGCCCCTCTCAGCGTGCAATGTCTATGAATGTATGAATCTGGCTCTGTGGTCCCCAAACCTCTGGAAACATATTTCTCCCAAGCATAATCGGGTCACAGGAGCACACGGAGAAATGCCGGTGAGCTCGGGCCATGAGCACAGCTGTCAGTGAGTGCACAGCGTGTTTGCATTCCACGTCTCTTTCCTGCACATGCTGCCGCACCCCCCACCCCACACCTTTCGGACGCTGCTTGCGTCATAGATCCACCTGGGCCTGCAGAGCTCATGTCCTGGCCTGGCCAAGCAAGGGGCTCAAATGTTTGATTGGGAGGGACTGGATGGGACAGCATTTGACTGTTTTATTTACAAGTGCATGAATAAGTTCTTGCGGTGTTTGGAAAGGGAATGTTCTTTCTTCGGGAACGTTCCATCATTCTGGGGAACCTGGTGAAAGCCTGTCTCTGTCTCCCGCCACGCCCCACACAGCTGCCCATTATCAAACATGTAGCAAGCTGACCTGGTGGAGGCTCTCCCGCGGGTTATCCCATTTAATCCTCCAGGCCACCCAGTGAGCAGGTCCGTTTATCTCAGTCATGGTCTAGCTGACCTCAGATAAAAGACTCAGCTCTTCGCAGGTGTTCTTAGAAGGTCAGGGCAAGACGGAACCTCACACACTCTTCCCTTTGTAAAAAGGGGGCGTGCCTGGGGAGATGAAAATGTTCTGGAAGCAGATAGTGGAGATGGTTGCACAGGGTCTCACTCTGTCACCCAGGCTGCAGTGCAGTGGTGTAATTATGGCTCACTGCAGCCTCGACCTCCTGGGCACAAGTGATCCTCCCATCTCAGCCTCCTGAGTAGCTGGGACTGCAGGTGCACCACTTCACCCAGCTAATTTTTTTTTTTTTTTGTAAAGACAGGGTCTCACCCAGTTCACCCGGCTAATTTTTTTTTGTAAAGACAGAGTCTCACTATGTGGTCCAGGCTAGTCTTGAACTCCTGGGCTCAAGCAATCCTCCCGCCTCAGCCTCCCAATGTGCTGGGATAGGCGTGAGCCATTGTGCCTGGCCTATAATGGCACATTTTATGTTATGTGCATTTTACCACAATTTTAAAAAGAGGAGAGGCATGACATCTAAAAAAAACAGACAAAGATTTACCAAAGACCCAACAGTTTCCTTCTGCGGCGATGAGAATGTTCTGGAAGCAGAGGTGGTGACTGCACAGCATTGGGAATGGACCATTCCACAGAATTGAACACTTCAAATTGGGTAATCTCATGCAACGTGAATTCACCTTAATTAAAAAAAAAAAAAAAACCCCACCTGAGTCATCGGCAGGCCTGGGCTGAGGGTCCTGGGTCACCCCACCCTGCATCAGGACTGGCTGCTGGCCCTTCTCTCCAGGTACTGGCCCCATGGCCTGAAGACTTCCTGCGGCCCAGACGTGTTCAGTGGCAGCTCGTACCCCGGGGTGCAGTCTTATATGATTGTCCTCATGATCACATGCTGCATCCTCCCACTCAGCATCATTGTGCTCTGCTACCTCCAAGTGTGGCTGGCCATCCGAGCGGTAAGCAACCCTGTCCCTCCTGGCCTTACTCCCTCCTGCCCCTAAGCTTCTCTGCCCCCAAATCAGTCCACTGAGACTACTATAAAAAAATTTTTTTTGAGACAGAGTCTTGTCACCCAGGCTGGAGTGCAGTGGCACAATCTCGGCTCACTGCAACCTCCACCTCCCGGGTTCAAGCGATTCTCCTGCCTCAGCCTCCCAAGTAGCTGGGGTTACAGGCTTGCACCACCATGCCCTACTAATTTTTTTGTATTTTTAGTAGAGATGGAGTTTTATCATGTTGGTCAGGCTGGTCTCGAAATCCTGACCTCAGGTGATCCACCCGCCTCGGCCTCCCAAAGTGCTGGGATTACAGGCGTGAGCTACTGCACCTGGCCTCCTAAACTATTTTTTCAAAAATCCTTAGAGAAGAGGATTCTACCCCTATAAGAAAATATTAAGATCCAGCGAGAAGAATCAGGCGATTCCTTTGGGGCAGTACCACCGGCTGCAGTTTCAGCCCCGGCCCCTTTGTCGTCAGCTCTGTGGGATAGGAAAGGATGCCCACTCCCTCCCTGGAGGAGTCCACTAAGGGAACAGAGGTGTGCCCTGCCCTGACCCTGGACAGTTCCCCCCAGGGTGGAAAGGCTGCCTATCCCACAGAGTGGAGTGGAGCAGCCACATCAGCAGATGAAAGCTACAAATCAAGGCGTGTTTTTATGAGGCTGCCCGTGGAGTACCCTTGTCCCTTTCATAGGCTGTGGGGCTGACCGAGGAGTGGAGCCCACTCTCCACCCTGTGTCTGGCCCTCTGCCCTGGGAAGCTGATCCTGTCCACAGCCATCACCCCCCACCCCTAGGCTAGGTTGCCACTGGGAGCCCCTGCAGGAAATCAGGCCAAGGGAGACGAGCAAGGTTGGTTCCGTCTGTTAGCTGCTGGGCCCTGCCTGGCACGGGCCGTGGAAGGCCCTTCAGGGTGGTAGCTTTCCTATATGAAGCCGCCTGTGTCCACAATTGGATGGGCATGCCTGCCAAGCTCTCTCTCCAGGAGTCTGTGAGCCCGTGATAAGCCCCCTCACCTTGGGCTGAAGGCTCCCACAGATACCCAAGCACGGCCTGGGCTCCATTAGTCTGGGCTGGTGGAGCCCCAGCTCCAGAATGTGGCCCCAGCCCTTCTGGCCTGGCCCTCCCCGGATTCCAGCCCTCACAGTCCCTCTCTCATCCCCACTCATCTGTGTGCCATCAGTCCCTCACCCCTGGCAGGCAGTGGCTGGCCTCTGTGACCTCCCCAACAGTGCCTCTGCCCGGAGGCATGAAGGAGCCATCCCACCACAGCTGCCCTCAGCTGCATCTCCATGAGTCCAGGTTTAGCCCACAGAGTGGCCAGCCTGGCCTAGGAAGCCTGAAGGAAGTGTATGCATTGCTCGGCACTGCCATCAGGCACCCCACCAGCCACTGCTCTCGCCTCCCCCGCCAACTCCATCTTCTTAGCTCCTTCATCCTCCACTCCCGGAGATCAGTTCAGGCCTCCATGTCAGGCCTGGGCGCAGAAGAGGACAGTCCGTTAAGGAATCAGGTGAAGCAAAGGAGCTTGTTTGGTCCAGCTCTGGGGTCACCTTAGGCCAGGCCTAGCTGCGTGCCACCTCCAATTCTAGAAGAACTCCCCCAGGGCCAGCCCAAGGCTGCCATGTCTCCCTGAGACCGGCTGTGCTCGACTCAGGGCTGGAAGCTGGCTGCTGGGCTCCTCTCCTTCCCACAACTCCCTATGCCTGGGTCACCTGCCTCTTGCTGTCCCCCAACCCCCGACTCACTGTCCCTGTCTCCCTCAGGTGGCAAAGCAGCAGAAAGAGTCTGAATCCACCCAGAAGGCAGAGAAGGAAGTGACGCGCATGGTGGTGGTGATGATCCTGACGTTCTGTGTCTGCTGGGGACCCTACACCTTCTTCGCATGCTTTGCTGCTGCCAACCCTGGCTACGCCTTCCACCCTCTGATGGCTGCCCTGCCAGCCTACTTTGCCAAAAGTGCCACTATCTACAACCCCATTATCTATGTCTTTATGAACCGGCAGGTAAGCAGGACCATCCGCAGATCTCACTGAAAACGCTGTCTGACCTAGAAGGACCCAGTGATGGCTCCACTTGGAGTCATGTCTCTGATGAGAAGCCCACGGACCATCTGGGGGACCCTCCAGGGAAATGATTGGGAAAGGCTCAGCATGTGGCCCAGACCCAGCTAGAGCTCCAGCTGGCCCTTAGCAGAAGGCTTAGGTGCGCCCTCTGGAATCCTTTATAGTGTCAGCCTGGGGGTGGCATTTCCCAAAGCATCTGTGTGCCGTATGCTCTTTCTTCCCGGTGGCCCTAGAACTGTGGCTGCCGAGCTTCAGGGGCTCTCCTGGCGTTGGTGAGCCCTAGGTACATCCAGCCTATGTGTGCCCCTCTTCTGTTCAGACTCAACTCTTCTCAGCCTCCATCTCTCCATTTTCAAACCATAACCTCTAAAATGTGTCTTCCCATAAGAACAAAAGCCGGCCCTTCTTGGCTACAGTTGACCAAGAGTTCCGGAGCTTTCATGACTTCGTGGGTTAGTTCAGGCCCAGAGGCAAGCTGCTCACACACCGAAATCCCCTCACCACCGAAGGCTGCAGGTTCCATTCAAGCGCAGCTGTGATGTGACTTGATGGTGACCAGAAGGGTGTGCAGGCACCTCCCATTTCACCCGCCCCAGCCCATCCCGTCCACTCGGCTCTTCTTTGCTCCTCCATCTCAGAGCCACTCAACGGCACCATCCCCTTTGGCTCGCCTGCAGAGTTCATTAAGGGTTCATTTTCCCTGGTGACTTTCACACAGTAAGCAGGACCAGGCCTGCAGTGGATTTCCGGGAACTCGCTGTAGCACACCGATGCCCAGAGTGTAGTTCTATCCCTGACCCCTGTTTCCTGTGTTTCAAGAGGAGCTTTTTTGGGTTTCTGGAATCCTAAACTATCTTCCCAAGTGCTGTCTTTACTGGATTCTTTCCATTCTCCCTTCCAGATGTCCCCTCCTACACAGACGTCTGCACTTCTGGACCTCACCAGGCCTCAAACTTTGTTTTCACCCTTTCCACGTAACTATCCTGTCCTGCCACATTCTGAGAGAATTTTCTGGAATGCAGTTCCATGAGGACAGGAAATTTTGCTCAGGACAGTCTGGCACACAGTGGGTGCTCAAGCAGCAGCTGCTGAATGGATTCCTAAGCCTTATCTCCCGGCTCTTCAGCCGAGCTGATTCTGCTGTTATGCTATTAATTGTTTTTTCTTTTTTTTTAAGACAGAGTCTTGTTCTGTTGCCAGGCTGGAGTGCAGTGGCGTGATCTCGGCTCACTGCAACCTCTACCTCCCAGAGCGATTCTGCTGCCTCAGCCTCCCGAGTAGCTGGGACTACAGGCACACGCCACCACACCCAGCTAATTTTTTTATTTTTAGTAAAGATGGGTTTTCATCATGTTGGACAGAATGGTCTCGAACTCCTGACCTTGTAATCTCCCCACCTCAGCCTCCCAAAATGCTGGGATTACAGGTGTGAGCCACCACACCCGGCCTATGTTATTGATTTCAACCTTTTTTTTTAATTTTGAGAGTTTTGATGACAGCGGGAGGTAGAGGAAGTCAAGAGTAGGTCTGAAATATTTAGGAAATGCCTTTGTTCTGGGTCCTCAAAGCATTGTGGTTAGTTCAGCGATCACAAGAGACACGACTTGAGACATTCATACGGCCCAGATCTCTTTGGGGTGACGCAGCAAAGACAGACCCCTCCTGGTACCGGAAGACCTTGGCTGGAGAGACGAGGTCGTGGCCAGATTGTCATTATCTAGGCCTCACCTTGCCCCAGATCCATGGACTGGAAACAAGATGACAACCACGTGCCTTTTCACTAACATTCCTCTGAGCTGCTCACCAGACAGTCTGGGGATAGGTCCCGACTGCCCCTTAGCTGGCACTGTGGATGAGTGTCCTGGGGCTGCCATCACAAACTACCACAAACTCAGTGGCTTCAAACGACAGAAATGGATTCTCTCACTGTTCTGGAAGCCTTGGTCTGAAATCAGGGTGTTGGCAAATGGAAAGGCTCCCCATGGAGGCTGAGAGGGGAAGCAGCCCCAGTCTCTGCTGCCAATGCCAGGGTTGCCGGCAGTCCTCGGTGTTCCTTGACTCCCAGGTGTGTCGCCCAGTCTCTGCCTTCATCTTCACGTGGGCTTCTTCCCTCTGTCTGTGTGTCCGTGTCCAAGTGTTTCTTTTCTTATCAGGACACCAGTCATTCGACTAGGGCCCACCCTACTCCAGTGTGACTTCGTCTTAACCTGAACACATCTTCTGGGGGACACACTTCAACCCAGTGTAGTCACCATCAACTGCTAAGTCGGATGACTTACACGGCCAACCCCCCGTGTGAGGGAGAAGTAACCCGAGCCTTCCTCCATCCCCCATGCGAAGGGAAGGCTCGGGCGCGTGCACTCAGCACCGGGCTCCACCCTTCTCTGCTCTGCTCAATAACACTTTCTGTCCTTCCAGTTTCGAAACTGCATCTTGCAGCTTTTTGGGAAGAAGGTTGACGATGGCTCTGAACTCTCCAGCGCCTCCAAAACAGAGGTCTCATCTGTGTCCTCGGTGTCACCTGCATGAGGTCTGCCTCCTAACTGTCCCACCCGCCGGGGCTTTGGCCAGCTCTCCCTTTCCCTCCTTCTCCATCCCTGTGAAATAAATGTAATTTATCTTTGCCAAAACCAACAAAGTTGCAGAGGCTTTCACTGCCGTTTGGGGCCGCCTGAGCCTCTGCGTGTGCAGGCACTGGGTCTCAGAGAGCGCAAGGGGAGTAAAGAGGAGAGAGTGCTTCATAGACTTCAATCTTTCCCGAGCCTCATGTCTACCAAGGGTGTGAAAGAATCCTGGCAAAACAGAAGTGTGAGGCGGGTGGGCATCTGCATCCATTTCACAGGGGTTGGTGGTTACATAATCAGGAAGTAAGACCTGTGGAGGGGCTGTCTAGGGAGGGCTCGATGGATGCCCTCAACACCCAGGAGGAGGGAGCGAGCTAGCAAGCTAAGGTAGGTGGCCCTCCTGCCCCCTTAAGGTCCATTTGCTAGAGACTCAGAGTCCTTGGAGTACAGTCTCCACCTGGAGGGGACCCATGCCTGCCACTCCATGGCAGGGATGTTGTGCCACCTCTGCCAGGCCAGGACCCCAAGCCCGATCAGCATCAGCATGCTGCAAGTGCGCAGGCGTGAGTTGACCAGTGACAAGGGGCAGGCACACAAGGTGGAGACAAAGACCAAGAGGACGGTGGTCAGTGACAGGAGCAGGCTCAGGAACCTGAACACCACCTGTAGGGGACGGCTTCGGAGGTGCTCCGCTGCCTCCAGCTGGGTGACTTGCGGTAGCGTCTCCAGCTTGGATATTCGGCTTTTGAAGGTCTCCATGATCTCCTGCAGGAGGTGAAAATGCATGCACTGGAAGTCAGCGCAGAGCTGTGGTTGTTCATTGAGTTCCTAGGGGCGCGCAGCAAGTACTGTGGAGTGGGTCTTCCAGGAGGGAAGCAGAGCCGAGTGCACAGCCACGCAGAGGGTAGGGCGCAGGTGCTCCAGCAACAGGGAAGGCTTCATCTGCCCCGGGCGCACTCCCCTACCCACTGTCAAGGACCTGGTCAGGACACAGCTACCCGGGGACGGGAGTAGGTGCTATGGGAATGGAAGAGTGAGGAGAGGGAAGCCAGGTCTAAGGAGTGGTTCTTAGAGGGCGCTCCCTACACCTGCAGCAGCAGAGGCAGCAGCGCCAGCCCAGATCTCCCGAGTCAGAGGCTCACTGGTGAGCACTGCAGCACCGAAGTAGCAAAAGCGGCTAAGCCAGATGGTGGGAAGCAGAGCGTGAGTGTAAAGATCAGACGCTGCTAGCTCTGACACGTGTGTGAGTGGCCACTGAACCCTCAGGAGGGGGCAGCTCGAGGACCCATGTCTTGCTTTGGTTTGGGGATATCAGAATGGATTCGCTCATCCCTCTGTCCTCCTCACAAGGCTCCCCCAGGAGGTTCTCACCCATATTTCCTTGGCTCTCTCATAAGATAGATAGGCCATTTTCTCCTCCATGCAGGCCAGATTGTGTTTGAGGTTGTAAATCTCATCCAGGTGTCCCTGCAGGCGAGCATTCACCTGTTCTTCCATCAACACTTGTCTTGGGAACAAAAGAGAAAGTAAGATTCCTTCAGTACCTCGCCCAGAGCTCATGCCCACAGCGAGGGGTCCTGCACCTAGACTAGATTCGGGTTCGGATTCTCCCTTCCTCCTCCCTTCCCAGGCTCAAGGGAAAGCCTGCCTCCCATTCCAGGTCTGCCTGGGAATGTCCCAAACACACACCAGCCACATGCACACCAATATTCATATATATTTTATATGTAGTTACTCTTTTGTAACAGCTTTACAGAAATAGCCATAGGCTAGAAGTTGTAGAAATGAAACTGTGAACTATCTGTGTGTGCTCCCAAATTCCACAAATCTCCCAGGACCAGTGTTTAGCACGAGGTTGAGCCTGCAGTTACTACAGATTCCACTTCAATTCCATTAATACGACATGCCCAGAATAGGCAAATCCATAGAGACAGGAAGCAGATTAGTGGGTGCCAGGGGCTGGGGGTGGGGGGTAGGGAGTGGCTAATGAGTACAGGGCTGCTTTAGGGCTGACAGAAATATTGCAGAATTTGATAGTGGTGATGGTTGAACAACTCTGTGAATATACTAAAAACCAGTGAACTGTACACTTTAAATGGATTCGTGAATTTTATGATATGTGAATTATATCTCAATAAAGCTGTTATTTAAACAAAAAGAAAAAAGTGAATCTTGGCAATAGTCACAGAACTCAGTAAATTTACTAAAAACCATTGAAATGAAGTTAAAATTGTGCATTTTATAATATGTAAGTTATATCTCAATAGAGCTGTTAAAAACCACCAGCAGGCCAGGTGCAGTAGTTCACACTTGCAATCCCAGTGTTTTGGGAGGCCAAGGCAAGGGGATTTCTCGAGGCCAGGAGGAATTCAAGACCAGCCCGGGCAACACAGTGAGACCCCATCTCTACAAAAAAAAATTAAACATTATCTGGACATGGTGGCACGTGCCTGTAATCTCAGCTACTCTGGAGGCTGAGGCAGGAGGATTCCTTGAGCCCAGGATTTTGAGGCTGCAGTGAGCTGTCATCATGCCACTGCACTCCAGCCTGGGCAGCAGAGCGAGACCCCACCTCTAAAAGAAAACAATCACTACCTGTTGTGTATATAATTATATAAGTAGGAAAAGTATAAAACCATGCATGGAAAAGATAAGCACCCAAATGAGAATAGCGAGGCCAGTGGAAGGGAGATGGTGCTGGAAAGGAGTAACGAGAGCTTTACCTGAATATTTTTAAGTTTTATTTCCTAAAAAAATAAGATTTGAAGTGAATATGGCAAATATTAAGATTTCAGAAACATGGAGCTGTTTATTATATTATCCTGTACATTTTCCCTGGGCTTGAAATACTTCATAATTTAAAAACTTCTTCGAAGTTCCTCATTTGGCACCACAAAGAACAGGCCAGAAAGAAAGAGGCCAGGGGGCCAGTGAGGGGGCTCTGGCCACCGCTTAGGTAGAAGACAGAAGGCACCAGAGAGTGATGGAACCCATAGGCTGTAGGGCTGTCGGCCCAGGAGGGCCAGAAGGGTGGCGGCAGGCCTGGGGTGCAGGAGGTCTAAACAGTGGTGCTGACAGAGACAAGGAAAACAGTGACAACTTCTATTTGGTCCCCCTCCAAGGACTTGACTGACACCCACACAGAGAAATCCTCTGGGCACTAAATAAGCTGACAGCTCATTTGTCAAAAGCTAATTTGTCAAAAGCCGGTTCCTCACAGCATTTCAAGGAACGTTCCATTTGTCTCTGCCTCAGGTCCCTGTTGAGAAGGGAGTCGGCGGACAACATGGACCAGACTACTGCTTACAGAGACGGGGAGTAGGTCGGCAGGACGGCCACCCCGAAAATAGATTCCTCTTTACTCTTTCCATTTACATGAACGACCTAGCTGCGAGAACATTCAAGATTTTAACTGTCCTCGGGAATATGAAGTCAATCTTCTTCATCAATGTATTTATAAAGATACATGAAGCTACTCTTGAATGCATTCCTGAATAGTCTATTCAGATGTTAGTAAACAATATTTTCATAAGGACATTCTCTCAGTCTCCCCTTCTCTCTGCCCCCCATCTCCTGGCCCTCTGGCAGCCATGCTCCCTTCTCTTCCTTGGTCACAGACCCCTCTCCCTCCAACTCTTATAGTCACAGAGGCAAATGGACAACTCTGAAGAATGCTCTTATGAAGACAAAATGATGACCAGTCAAGCCAGACACCTCAAGACAGACCAAAGCTGTTAAGACCACCCTCTCCAGCACAAAGTGTTCTAAACTTTATTGAAATTGTGTGTGTGTGTGTGTGTGTGTGTGTGTGTGTGTGTGTGTGTGTGTAGATAGATAGATAGATAGATAGATCCATATTTTTTTTTGGAGACAGATTTCTGTTGCTCAGGCTAGAGTGCAGTAGCACCATCTCGGCTCACTGCAACCTCCACCTGCTGGGTTCAAGCGATTCTCTTGCCTCAGCTTCCCGAGTAGCTGGAACTACAAGCATGCGCCATCACTCCTGGCTTACTTTTGTGTTTTTAGTAGAGACGGGGTTTCACCATGTTGGCCAAGCTTGTCTCCAACTCCTGACCACAGGTGATCTGCCCACCTTGGCCACCCAAAGTGCTGGGATTACAGACGTGAGCCATTGCGTCTGGCTACAAAGAGTATATTCTTGATCATTTCTGAGAATTTGCTTTTGGCAAATTGAGCTAGAACCTAATCATGGCTCGAAACTTGGAGGAAAGGTCTGAGATGGAGAAACAGCTGTAGGATGGGTCAGTAGCATGGGGGCAATGGGTGCACGTGGCCAGAATGGATGAGCTTGCTCTGAGCAAATGTACCAAAGTGAGGGGCCTTGGGGAGCTGGGTTAACAGCCAACAAAACAGAAGCCTAAGTGGGAGGAAAATCACCAGGACAGCTCACACAGGAACCCAGGGGATGCAGGGATACAGTGGAAAGGTCAAACATACATGTAACTGGGACCTTAAAGGGGGAGAAATGAGAGACTAGGTCAGAATCAATATTTGAAAATATAATGGCTGAAAATTTCCAAAATTTACGAGAGACATGAAGCCATAAACCCAAGTAGCAATGCAAACCGCAAGCAGGATGAATGCAAAGAAAATCACACCAAGGGGAGAGTCAGCGGCACACACACACAACAACCACACCAAACATCATCATAGCAAAACCACTAAACACCAAAGAAAAAGCAATCTTAAAAGGAGCCTGAGGAAAACGAAACTGTCATGCAAGGAGCAACAAGAAGACTGGCAGCTGCCTGTTCACCAGAAGCCATGGAAGCCAGAAGGGAATGGTTTGTTCAAAATGCTTATGATTTCAAAATATTAAGTGCCAACCTACAATTCTGTGCCCAGCAAAAAATATCCTTCAGAAATAAAAAGGAATGATGGCATGTGTGACGCAATAAGGTGACAGCGACTGTATATTTAACACGGTGGACTTGTTTTAAAACATTTTTGGTGTGGTATTTAGACTACGTTAACAAAGTGATCCATATTTCAGGTTCACACTGAAATATTTACAGATGAACTGATAAAATGTCTGCGCTTTGCTTCAAC